GTTGCCTCAAGATGTGACTCTGATGGACTCCCTCTTGAAGGGTTTGATTTGATGTAACTTTTGTAACTTTGTTATGATTTCTTCTGTTTTTCTTTATTTTGTTGTTACATCACACTTGGTGCGCCTGTTCTTTTCTTTTTCTCTGTCATAACTTCTTTTTCAAACACTGTAATCATGTTCTGGAAGTTTGACTTTAATGAAAAGTATGGATGCTTGGTAGTACTCTTGAGTTTCATTTCATTGCTTCCCTTACATTGCTTTCACATTGCTTTTAAAGATAAGGCAAGCTCTCTACAAGTGTAAAATTTCATTGCCACTAAGCTTTTACAAGGATAAACTTTCACTAAGTATGGAAAACTTTCCTCACACTAAGTGTATATGAGAGTAACATGTTTACTAAGTGTACGACCCTTTTTTTACACTTTGCTTTAGAAGTATTAACAAAAAAACTTACAAATCTTTTCAAAAGAAATTAAAGAAAATATTCTTTGACATACTTGGTGTTGACAGAGCTAGTTTTGAATCCATCATTTACTCTTGTCAACTTGTAGTACCCGCTGCTACTTGCCTCAGCAACTTTGTAGGGGCATTCCCATCTGGGTGAGAACTTGGGAATTGGCTGCCCCGCATGATTGCATCCACTGTTTTCCATACTAAGTCCCCATTCTTTAAACTTTTTGTGTTGAACAGATTGATTGTAGACACGGGTTATGGATTGATGATACTTTTCCATTGCCTATGAGGCCCGATCTTTTCTTTGTTCAGCTGCCTTTATGTCGTTGTTCCTGCTGTCTGGAACTAAGTGTACTGACATAGCCATTCTTGCTGAGGGTACTGCCAACTTAACTGGTAACATAGCTTCGGACCCATATATTAGGGAAAATGGGGTTGCCTGAGTTGGCTTCCTCTTTGACGTTCTATACTCCCAAAGTACTACGGGGAGTTGTTCAGACCATGTGCCTTATGCTTTATCCATCATCTTACTCGGTATTCGAATAAGGGTTTTGTTGGTCGCCTCAGCTTGTCCATTCCCTTAGGGATAGTGTGGACTAGACTTATGATGCTTAATTTGGTAGGCCTCCAGCAGTTTTCCCACATGACGATTTACAAAAGGAGTTCCATTGTCAAACAACATCATTTTGAGTATGCCAAACTTGCAGATTATGTTCTCTTTGATAAAGTTGGTTACCCCTGCCCCATCTACCTTCCTCATTGGTATAGCTCCTACCAACTTGGTGCTAACTTCGGTTACTGCAAGTATCCATCTGTATCCTTTGGACTGCTGCGCTATAGGACCTACCAAGTCAAATGCCCAAGTATGGAACGGATAAGGAGTCTAGATGTTGTGCAGTTCAACCGCTGGTGCATGTATCAAATTCCCAAACTTCTGACAAGACTGGCATCTCCTCACAAAGTTTTTAGCATCTTCTTCCATTGTTGGCCAATAGTAGCCGAGGTAAATGAGATGTCCATATAACCGCTGTCCTCCTTGATGCTCTTTTTGTGGGCTTCCCTCAGCACCTCGTTTGCCTTATCTTTTGATAAGCATGCTAAAGGTTCCCCTTCGAAGCTTCTTCGATACAGCTTACCCTGGTCAAGGAAGAAGCGGAGGGCTCACCTTTTGACCCTGATTACATCGACTTTGTTTTCAGGCAGTGTGCCATTCCCAAGGTAATCGATATATGGCTGTTTCCATTCTTCACTACTTAAGAAATGGGCTTCCTCTTCCTTAGGATGGGACTGACATTTTGCGCATTGCCTCTGCAATTCAACAACTTTCCTTTTCCATCTCTGGCTAGTAGTACCCTGCATCTGTACCCGTCGGTATAGGCTGATATCTCCATCTCCATAAGACTTTGCATGGATCTGCTTAAGTTTGTCAGTTGCTTCTTGCCTACCAACGCATCTTGCCAACAAGTTATTGGGACAGCGAAAATACAACTCTCCTCTGAGGAGCAGAAATAGTGCAAGTTTTGCTGGTCTAATTGTTCCCTGGCCAGTTTTCAGTTGCTGGATTATATCTGCTTTCCACCCCTCAGTATCTTGCTCTGTATGTTCTTCAGTTAGCACCGCTAGTATTGTCCTTTTCTCGATGACGATGGCTATACTATAGTCTGGTATCTCCACCTTTGCCCCCAGTGTAGCCAAGGCATCGGGAAAACAGTTATGTGCTCGAGGGGTATGCTGGATTTGGACATCATTAAACTGAGCAAGCAACTTTTGGACTACAGTGCGATATGGGGCTAATAGAGGCTCCTTCAAGGCGAAATCACCCATTGTTTGCTTAATAACTAACTTGGAGTCGCCCCAGATTCTCAACTTGCGAAGGCCCTTCTTTTAGGTAGCTATCAGGCCCAGTATCAACGCTTCATATTCGGCCTCGTTGTTTAAACACTCAAAATCAAGCTTATATGATAGATGGAACTTCTCTCATTCTTGACTGGTTAGTGTGACACCAGCTCCACCTTTTCTAGCTCTAGAAGCTCCGTCAAACTTTAAGTCCCAATAAGTCTTAATTGCAGCTGCTGAGACATGGAACTCACATGGTAGAGGTACCTCTGCAGGTTCATGTTCACCAGAAAGGAACCGTACCAATAGGTCTATGAGTGCTTGGCTCTTAATAGCCTTAGGAGTGACACAAGCGATATCATATTCTGCTAGAGCCAAAAGCCATCTTGCCATTCTCCCAGTCAGAGCAGGCTTGCTTAGTAATTAGCAGACTGGATCACTCCGGGTTACAACCTGGATCGGGTGTGCCAAGAAGTAGTCGTGCAGCTTCTACGCTGTGAAGATTAAGGCTAAACAATGCCACTCAATTGGAGTATATCGCGACTTGGCACCATTGACTTTGCAACTGATGTAATAGACTGGCTTCTCAATTCCATCTATGTCTTGGACAAGTAGGGCTCCAATAGACCGATGAGTAGAGGTCATGTACAATAGTAGAGGTTTTTTAGGCTATGGGGCAATCATTGTAAGTGGTGAGGTAAGTGCTTTCTTCATCGTATCAAATGCCCATTGGTGTTCTTGCAACCATTCAAACTTGTGATTCCCTTTCAGTAGTGTCCCAAACGAAAAGGTTATCTCAGCAAAGGCTGGAATAAACCTCCTGAGGTATGACACCTTGCCTAGGAATTTCTTCAAAGGCTATTGAGAGCGTGGCGACGGTATTTCCATAATTGACTTGACCTTATCCCCATCTACTTCGATCCCCTGCTGGTGTACAAGGAAGCCAAGGAATTTGCCAGCAGTAACTCCAAAGGCACACTTGAGAGGGTTCATCTTGAGGAAAAATTTGCAGCAACGCTGAAAAACTTTTTCCAAGTTGCAGAGGTGGCGGGTTTCCTTAGTAGACTTGACCACCAGATCATCTACATATACTTCCACTTTGTGGTGCAACATGTCATGGAACACTACAGCCATAGCCCGTTGGTGGGTTGCCCCCGCGTTTTTCAAACCGAAGGGCATCACCGTATAGAAAAAATTTCCCAAGGGTGTTCTGAAAACTGTCTTTTCTGCATTTTCTGGTGCCATTTTGATCTGGTTATAACCACTGAACCCATCCATGAAGGAGAACATCTGATGGCCCGCAGTTGAATCGACAAGTGTATCAACATGGGGCAATGGAAACTCATCTTTCGGGCAGGCCTTATTTAGGTCACGAAAGTCTACGTAGACCCTGATTTGACCGTTCTTCTTCTGCACAGGAACAATATTTGCTAGCCAAGTTGGGTACTGTATAGGCTTAATGAACTTGGCCCTTTGCAACTTTTATACCTCTGCTTTAATCTTTGCTTCAAGATCAGGGTGATACTTTCGAGCGTGCTGTTTCATCGGTTTAGAGTTGGGAAAATTGTCTAGATGATGAGTGACGAGGGACGGGTCAAGGCCAGGCATCTCATCATATGTCCAAGCAAAGACATTACTGTATTTCTTTAGTAGTGTTATCAATTTTGCCTTAGCTGTTGGAGCCATTGTATCACTGACAAACACCGGCTTGCTCTGCCTAGGTAAGTCACTGAGGTTGACCTCAATGAGTACCTCATGTTGGGGTTTGGGCTTATCTTGCATGCATTCAAGGGTGGGCTTAGGCGTCTCCACCAATCCTTCTTGGGACTCACTTCCGTCACATTTATTTCTCTCGGGGCCATCCTCCCAGGGTATGAAGTTTGGCTCCCAAGACCGTCATAGGTAGTAAACTGTCTTTCCACCCTCGCGCACCTTGACAATCTTGGGCAGAGGACTTGTAAATCTGCTGCTCCTTTTCTATCCACTATTTTCCAGAGCAGCCTCTGTATCTCGAATGTCTTCCCATTTCGGCAATTTTACTACTACAATTTTACCAGTCCTTGGAGCTTCATCCGTTGACAACTCAGAAAAGAAAACTACATCCGAATACTGTGCCTCTTACACTTTGAATGGCTTTTCAGACGCGTTTATGGTAACTGTGCGCTTTCCTAACTTTGCCTTCATACATTGGTGATAGCTGGACGAGATAGCCCCATATCGGTGCATCCAAGCTCTGCCAAGTATCATGTGGTAATTTGTATCTGCTTCAATCACATGGAATTTAGTCGCAGAACGAATCTCGCCAACTGCTAAGTCCACCACAACATTGCCCTTAGTGACTTTTTTCTCACCACCAAAACTGGTTACAGTAATGGGTTGGCAAACCATTCTAGATTCCGGGATGCCAGCCTTTGCGAAGGTGTCAGCGGTAATGATGTTTATGGATGCCCCACCATCGAGGAAAACACGCTTGAACTCTACATCATTGATATAAGCTGTGACAAAAAGAGGATGGTTATGGGGAAATGGGTATGCTTTGTCTGCTTCTGAAAAGGTAATAGCCCCATAATTTTCCTGGATGCGCCGAGGCACATATTCCTTGGCCTCAGCAACTTCAGCATGGTGCAGTTTAGAGATGCTGATGAGAGCCTTTGTTGCTTCCATCTTGGTGGCTTGGCTCAACCCTAATTGGTCAAAGAATTTTGCAACGCTTAAGCATGAGTATCCTCTGCAAATTTCGCCTCTACAGGTGTTGTTTCAGGGAGCTGGCCAGTTGCAATTTCTTCTAACTCATCATAGTAGGATGCCATGTGCACTTGATCGCACACAGGCACAAGGTAGCTGATCATGTGTACATTCTTCCCCTTCTCCTTATGGTTAGGATAAGGGTCCTTTCGTACGTCATAATTACCGACATCTTTGAACCTCAGCTCATTCGCGTCAACTTTCTTTTTGAAGATATTTTTTAATGTCCAACAGTCCCTGGTAGGATGTCTGGTGGTTCTGTGATAGACACAGTAATCTGGGCTTTCTTTGTCCTTTTTGGTTAGAGTAACATCAATTGGAGGTAAAGTAAGTTCACCATCAGCGACCCATTCTTTAACCAAGGCCTTAACATTCTCAAGGCTGCAAGGATATGGATTCTTGTTTTCATAACTCTTTCTCTTTTGAGAGGACGAAGCCTTTGCTTGCGAGTGGCTCCCTCCTGTGGAGGTTACTGCAGAAACTCTACTACTGCAGGAGTAGCGGTGGCTGTCACAAGATCTGTGTAAAGGACTAGTGGTACTGAGATTTCTAGCTGTCTCGATCAAGGCTGAAAAGGTAGACAGATTATGGTTCACCAAAAATATCTTGTAGTTGCGTATGGCACCCTCCACACATATGCTGACTAAGTGAGCTCCATCCACTGGTTCATGACAGTCAATCGCCTTGTCTTGGAACCACTTAACATAGTTCATTATATCTTCGCCTTCTTTTTGGACGTCTCGCCCGAGTGTGAGGGTTGTAACTTTCTTCTGGACTTGGAAGAACTTCGTGTGGAACTTGTTCACCATCTCCTCCCAACTCTTGATCGAGTTGGGAGCCAAGTTCACATACCAACTGTAAGCTCTTTCAATAAGTGATTTGGATAACTCCCAAAGGCGCAGAGAGTGGTCATTGCCATGGACACCAAGAGTTTCAATGAACCTGACCACGTGTTCTCTGGCATTCTGCTGCGCTATAGGACCTACCAAGTCAAATGCCCAAGTATGGAACGGATAAGGAGTCTAGATGTTGTGCAGTTCAACCGCTGGTGCATGTATCAAATTCCCAAACTTCTGACAAGACTGGCATCTCCTCACAAAGTTTTTAGCATCTTCTTCCATTGTTGGCCAGTAGTAGCCGAGGTAAATGAGATGTCCATATAACCGCTGTCCTCCTTGATGCTCTTTTTGTGGGCTTCCCTCAGCACCTCGTTTGCCTTATCTTTTGATAAGCATGCTAAAGGTTCCCCTTCGAAGCTTCTTCGATACAGCTTACCCTGGTCAAGGAAGAAGCGGAGGGCTCACCTTTTGACCCTGATTACATCGACTTTGTTTTCAGGCAGTGTGCCATTCCCAAGGTAATCGATATATGGCTGTTTCCATTCTTCACTACTTAAGAAATGGGCTTCCTCTTCCTTAGGATGGGACTGACATTTTGCGCATTGCCTCTGCAATTCAACAACTTTCCTTTTCCATCTCTGGCTAGTAGTACCCTGCATCTGTACCCGTCGGTATAGGCTGATATCTCCATCTCCATAAGACTTTGCATGGATCTGCTTAAGTTTGTCAGTTGCTTCTTGCCTACCAACGCATCTTGCCAACAAGTTATTGGGACAGCGAAAATACAACTCTCCTCTGAGGAGCAGAAATAGTGCAAGTTTTGCTGGTCTAATTGTTCCCTGGCCAGTTTTCAGTTGCTGGATTATATCTGCTTTCCACCCCTCAGTATCTTGCTCTGTATGTTCTTCAGTTAGCACCGCTAGTATTGTCCTTTTCTCGATGACGATGGCTATACTATAGTCTGGTATCTCCACCTTTGCCCCCAGTGTAGCCAAGGCATCGGGAAAACAGTTATGTGCTCGAGGGGTATGCTGGATTTGGACATCATTAAACTGAGCAAGCAACTTTTGGACTACAGTGCGATATGGGGCTAATAGAGGCTCCTTCAAGGCGAAATCACCCATTGTTTGCTTAATAACTAACTTGGAGTCGCCCCAGATTCTCAACTTGCGAAGGCCCTTCTTTTAGGTAGCTATCAGGCCCAGTATCAACGCTTCATATTCGGCCTCGTTGTTTAAACACTCAAAATCAAGCTTATATGATAGATGGAACTTCTCTCATTCTTGACTGGTTAGTGTGACACCAGCTCCACCTTTTCTAGCTCTAGAAGCTCCGTCAAACTTTAAGTCCCAATAAGTCTTAATTGCAGCTGCTGAGACATGGAACTCACATGGTAGAGGTACCTCTGCAGGTTCATGTTCACCAGAAAGGAACTGTACCAGTAGGTCTATGAGTGCTTGGCTCTTAATAGCGTTAGGAGTGACACAAGCGATATCATATTCTGCTAGAGCCAAAAGCCATCTTGCCATTCTCCCAGTCAGAGCAGGCTTGCTCAGTAATTAGCAGACTGGATCACTCCGGGTTACAACCTGGATCGGGTGTGCCAAGAAGTAGTCGTGCAGCTTCTACGCTGTGAAGATTAAGGCTAAACAATGCCACTCAATTGGAGTATATCGCGACTTGGCACCATTGACTTTGCAACTGATGTAATAGACTGGCTTCTCAATTCCATCTATGTCTTGGACAAGTAGGGCTCCAATAGACCGATGAGTAGAGGTCATGTACAATAGTAGAGGTTTTTTAGGCTATGGGGCAATCATTGTAAGTGGTGAGGTAAGTGCTTTCTTCATCGTATCAAATGCCCATTGGTGTTCTTGCAACCATTCAAACTTGTGATTCCCTTTCAGTAGTGTCCCAAACGAAAAGGTTATCTCAGCAAAGGCTGGAATAAACCTCCTGAGGTATGACACCTTGCCTAGGAATTTCTTCAAAGGCTATTGAGAGCGTGGCGACGGTATTTCCATAATTGACTTGACCTTATCCCCATCTACTTCGATCCCCTGCTGGTGTACAAGGAAGCCAAGGAATTTGCCAGCAGTAACTCCAAAGGCACACTTGAGAGGGTTCATCTTGAGGAAAAATTTGCAGCAACGCTGAAAAACTTTTTCCAAGTTGCAGAGGTGGCGGGTTTCCTTAGTAGACTTGACCACCAGATCATCTACATATACTTCCACTTTGTGGTGCAACATGTCATGGAACACTACAGCCATAGCCCGTTGGTGGGTTGCCCCCGCGTTTTTCAAACCGAAGGGCATCACCGTATAGAAAAAATTTCCCAAGGGTGTTCTGAAAACTGTCTTTTCTGCATTTTCTGGTGCCATTTTGATCTGGTTATAACCACTGAACCCATCCATGAAGGAGAACATCTGATGGCCCGCAGTTGAATCGACAAGTGTATCAACATGGGGCAATGGAAACTCATCTTTCGGGCAGGCCTTATTTAGGTCACGAAAGTCTACGTAGACCCTGATTTGACCGTTCTTCTTCTGCACAGGAACAATATTTGCTAGCCAAGTTGGGTACTGTATAGGCTTAATGAACTTGGCCCTTTGCAACTTTTATACCTCTGCTTTAATCTTTGCTTCAAGATCAGGGTGATACTTTCGAGCGTGCTGTTTCATCGGTTTAGAGTTGGGAAAATTGTCTAGATGATGAGTGACGAGGGACGGGTCAAGGCCAGGCATCTCATCATATGTCCAAGCAAAGACATCATTGTATTGCTTTAGTAGTGTTATCAATTCTTCCTTAGCTGCTGGAGCCATTGTATCACTGACAAACACCGGCTTGCTCTGCCTAGGTAAGTCACTGAGGTTGACCTCAATGAGTACCTCCTGTTGGGGTTTGGGCTTATCTTGCATGCATTCAAGGGTGGGCTTAGGCGTCTCCACCAATCCTTCTTGGGACTCACTTCCGTCACATTTATTTCTCTCGGGGCCATCCTCCCAGGGTATGAAGTTTGGCTCCCAAGACCGTCATAGGTAGTAAACTGTCTTTCCACCCTCGCGCACCTTGACAATCTTGGGCAGAGGACTTGTAAATCTGCTGCTCCTTTTCTATCCACTATTTTCCAGAGCAGCCTCTGTATCTCGAATGTCTTCCCATTTCGGCAATTTTACTACTACAATTTTACCAGTCCTTGGAGCTTCATCCGTTGACAACTCAGAAAAGAAAACTACATCCGAATACTGTGCCTCTTACACTTTGAATGGCTTTTCAGACGCGTTTATGGTAACTGTGCGCTTTCCTAACTTTGCCTTCATACATTGGTGATAGCTGGACGAGATAGCCCCATATCGGTGCATCCAAGCTCTGCCAAGTATCATGTGGTAATTTGTATCTGCTTCAATCACATGGAATTTAGTCGTAGAACGAATCTCGCCAACTGCTAAGTCCACCACAACATTGCCCTTAGTGACTTTTTTCTCACCACCAAAACTGGTTACAGTAATGGGTTGGCAAACCATTCTAGATTCCGGGATGCCAGCCTTTGCGAAGGTGTCAGCGGTAATGATGTTTATGGATGCCCCACCATCGAGGAAAACACGCTTGAACTCTACATCATTGATATAAGCTGTGACAAAAAGAGGATGGTTATGGGGAAATGGGTATGCTTTGTCTGCTTCTGAAAAGGTAATAGCCCCATAATTTTCCTGGATGCGCCGAGGCACATATTCCTTGGCCTCAGCAACTTCAGCATGGTGCAGTTTAGAGATGCTGATGAGAGCCTTTGTTGCTTCCATCTTGGTGGCTTGGCTCAACCCTAATTGGTCAAAGAATTTTGCAACGCTTAAGCATGAGTATCCTCTGCAAATTTCGCCTCTACAGGTGTTGTTTCAGGGAGCTGGCCAGTTGCAATTTCTTCTAACTCATCATAGTAGGATGCCATGTGCACTTGATCGCACACAGGCACAAGGTAGCTGATCATGTGTACATTCTTCCCCTTCTCCTTGTGGTTAGGATAAGGGTCCTTTCGTACGTCATAATTACCGACATCTTTGAACCTCAGCTCATTCGCGTCAACTTTCTTTTTGAAGATATTTTTTAATGTCCAACAGTCCCTGGTAGGATGTCTGGTGGTTCTGTGATAGACACAGTAATCTGGGCTTTCTTTGTCCTTTTTGGTTAGAGTAACATCAATTGGAGGTAAAGTAAGTTCACCATCAGTGACCCATTCTTTAACCAAGGCCTTAACATTCTCAAGGCTGCAAGGATATGGATTCTTGTTTTCATAACTCTTTCTCTTTTGAGAGGACGAAGCCTTTGCTTGCGAGTGGCTCCCTCCTGTGGAGGTTACTGCAGAAACTCTACTACTGCAGGAGTAGCGGTGGCTGTCACAAGATCTGTGTAAAGGACTAGTGGTACTGAGATTTCTAGCTGTCTCGATCAAGGCTGAAAAGGTAGACAGATTATGGTTCACCAAAAATATCTTGTAGTTGCGTATGGCACCCTCCACACATATGCTGACTAAGTGAGCTTCATCCACTGGTTCATGACAGTCAATCGCCTTGTCTTGGAACCACTTAACATAGTTCATTATATCTTCGCCTTCTTTTTGGACGTCTCGCCCGAGTGTGAGGGTTGTAACTTTCTTCTGGACTTGGAAGAACTTCGTGTGGAACTTGTTCACCATCTCCTCCCAACTCTTGATCGAGTTGGGAGCCAAGTTCACATACCAACTGTAAGCTCTTTCAATAAGTGATTTGGATAACTCCCAAAGGCGCAGAGAGTGGTCATTGCCATGGACACCAAGAGTTTCAATGAACCTGACCACGTGTTCTCTGGCATTGCCTTGTTTTCTGTATACCAAGTTAGGTAGGGCATGGTTAATATCTCTTGAGAGTATAGGGGCTTCACATCTGGGCCGGAGAGAGATGGCAGTTGTTTCTTGCTGCGCTCTTGCTCGAGCATAGCTTGTACATCGGCTAGAGTAACAAAGGGAGTGGGTTGAAATGGTCCAGTCTGCTTCTGGGTAGCTGAACCGGCGACTGTACTGTTCGCCTGAGGTACCACCAGAGACACCTGGATCGGAGCTTGAACCTCAGGGAACAAGTTAGGCGCTGGGTTTGGAATTGCTACAGGTGGGAGTGCGTGCACTGGAGCTAGTTTAGAAGCCATGGCCATAATAACCTCAGTTAGAGTTTGCAAAGCTGCTAGGATCTCCCTTTGCATATTCTGGAATGACTGAACTGCCTCAACCACGACACTGTGGTCATGGTTTTCCG